TCGGACATCCTAGACCCTGTTCCTTCTCTCTCTCCAGCCCCATCCTGACTATCAGAGGGGGTCAGATTTACTACATAAATATTTTATTTTTACTATATATATTATTATATTATATAAAAATGTTTTATACTTTATATATATGTATATTTTACTATATATATTACCTATATATACTTGGTTATAAAATCAGATTACAAGAGAAGAGATCATAATAATAGTAAAACAAGATTCCCTTGCTCCAGTCCTCTGGAACAATTGCTTCCAAGAACCAACATTTTAAAATTTATTAAATAATTTAAAATTTTTCTTGTGGTCAATTTTACATTCCTAAATAATGTAATTATATCTCTATATTTTGATGCATCCATTTTAGACATCATCTGTTCCTTTTCTCTATGATAGAGGAGGATTTTGCTTAACTTCTACTGCCATAACCTTCCCAGTGTCTATTACTCTTATTTCCATCATTAGTTACTTTAAACATTTCACACATACACTTTTATTGCTTATTCCACGGACACTAGATTGTTTCAAGTTCTTACTGTACCCCACCCAGACCCCTCCCAGCTACTGTCTTTCCACATTATCAAGGCTAAATAGATTTCTTTGAGATGCAGTCTGCCCAGCCATGGCAGAGATTTTGAGATTGACTGCTGTCATCTTCAAAGCTCAGCATATTCAGGATTGCCATTAAATATTGGTCACATAAAATGACAGCGGAGAACATAATTCTGAATTCCCTCAGCTATCCTTTGTCTATTTAAAGAAAAGATAGGCTTTTTTTTTTTTTGCCCTGGATCACAGGAGTTATCTCATTAAATCAAGTACCATAGAACCCCATGAGGAGCCAGAGCAGATGAAGGTGTAAGGGGAATAAATCCTATTAGGGTCCCAGCAGGAGAGTCATTGGAGACGCACAGCCATGAAAGAAAGACCTGGGGCTCCACTCATGTTCCTGTGGTCTCAGGTCCAGTTTCAAAGAGGGAAAAATATACGCTGCTTGCTTTCCGAAAACATCTCAAAGCCACTTCTTAAACCATACAAAAGCTTTTCTTTCCAAACCTTTAGGATAGAAATGGGGTTAAAAACACCACTTTAAAAGAAATCCTTGCTGTCACTATTGCTATAAAACTATATCTATAGGATTTAAAAAAAATTTTTTTTAAAGATTTTTTATTTATTTGACAGAGAGCGAGCGAGAGAGGGAACACAAGCAGGGGGAGTGGGAGAGGGAGAAGCAGGCTTCCCACTGAGCAGGGAGCCTGATGCGGGGCTTGATCCCAGGACTCTGGGATCATGACCTGAGCCAAAGGCAGATGCTTAATGACTGAGCCACCCAGGTGCCCCAATATATCTATACGGTTTAACAAAGTTTTCTGATCAAGATTTCTCATTAGCTAAACTATTCCTAATTATTGATATTATCAGTTTATGTAGCTGTGTGTTGAAGAGATTTTTACTCATAATTTCTCCTTGTTTCCCTATTAATAAATGAAACCATATTAAAATGTTTTAGAAATAATATATTTGAGGGGCACCTGGGTGGCTCAGTTAAGCATCCGACTCTTGATTTAGGCTCAGGTTGTGACCTCAGGGTTGTGAGATCCGGCCCTGCCTGCCTTGGCTCCCCGCTCAGCAGGGAGTCTGCTTGAGAGTCTCTCTCTCTCCCACTCCCTTTTCCCTGCATTCTCTCTTTCTCTCTCTCTCTAAAACAATAAATAAATCTTTAAAAAAAGAAATAATATATTTGATCTTTTTAAGGAAGTTTAAACTATATCCATGTAGTTTTCACACAGCAGAACTAGCCTTTGCCAATTTTAAAACACACCAAATTATCTACTTTTTGAAAAGGATCAACATGCAAGTAAGTTAAAAACCATTTAAATGTGCGTGAGTGGGAGATATAGGCTTCCAGTTATGGAATGAGCAAGTCACGGGAGTAAAAGGCACAGCATGAGGAATAGGACATGTTGTAATTGTGATATATCAGGACAGAGGGCAGCTACACTTGTGAGCATAGCATAATGTGTAAACTTGTGGAATCACTCTGTCGTACACCTGAAGCTAGTGTAACGTTGTGTGTCAACTGTACTATACTAAAAAACCAAAAATCATTCCTAGTTTGTTGGTTCAGAAATCTTCTCTACTGGTAGCTTTAACCACTTGTCCCCAAATGCAGGTCTGCATGTTCTGGGGAGCTTTAATGAAAAAGCAAATTCAGGGTTTTACTGAACCATTTGATGGTCTTAGGCTTTGAAGTTTTATTTTTTGGGTTTTTTTTGAGGGGAGTGGAGAGTTTAAGTCAGTGGTTCTCAAACTTTCTTGGTTTTAGGACCCCTTTACTTCTTAAAAATTAAGAGCCCCAAAAAGCTTTTGTTCATGTGGGTTACATCTATTGATATTTTACCATATTAGAAATTAAAACTGAGAAACATTTGTATTTGCTTATTAATTCACTGAATAAGCCCACATGTTAATAAAATTAACATATTTTTATGGAAATAACTATATTTTCAAAACAAAAAATATTTAGTAAGAAGTGATATTGTTTAGCATTTTTATAAATCACTTTATTCTCTGGTTTACCAGAGTACAGCTGGATTCTCATAGCTGCTTCTGCATTTAGTCCATTAAGATACATTGTTTTGGTTGAGGTATATGAAGAAAATATGGACTCATATAGATAATCTTCTTCAGTACCCAACCCAAACTTGACAAGCAGTTTCTTAAAACTACTTTTAAGTAAAAAAAAACCTTTAAGAAAGGTCAATTGCAATGTGGAATCTAAAATTTTATATTGTTTCATTAAAATCCAAGGTTTATCTTGTCCTTAGAATGAATATTTGTAACCTTAGGCATTTTGGGTGGCGGAGAATATTAGTTCACTGCATTATGCAGATCTTTCAAATGTTGACACATTTCATTATATAGTCAAAAATCAAGGATGTTATTATTACTTCTGATCAGGTTCAGGACATGCTACCCCCAAAATATGGCATCTTGGCACAATGAATATTTCAGGCTGAAGTAATTTGGAAAATGGCATGTGCAGGAAGGGTTCTTCCTCCCTTCCTCCCTCCCTTCTATTTTGTTAGCTCTGCTTGTGATTTGTTGCTTCTCAGTAAATAGGTGTACCCACAGTGTTCAACAGTGGTCATTAGAATGAACATATATTTGACCGTTCTCAAGATTTCTTCCACCTTCTGAAAACACTCTCGGACTTCCCCTGTAGCAGGTCATAAAACCCTCATGTGAGAGGGGCTCTCCTGTCCTGGGAGGAGAGGAATATCTCCCAAAATGAAGGAACCCAGAGAGGATAGGCCTCAGACGAAGAGGCCTTGCTGTTTCCCCCAGTTTACTACATTTAGCTTACCTTTGTCCTATCACATCTTCCCACAACTTTCCATTCTACATCAAACCTAATATAAAACCTTCAGGTTTAATTGTTTCCTTGGGTCTTCATTTACTTCTTGTGAAGGCTCCTGTGTTATGTAAAACTTATAGAGGCATACATCAGAGATATTGTGGGTTTGGTTCCAGACCACCACAATAAAGCCAATGTCACAATAAAGCCAGTCAACTGAATTTCTTGTTTTTTTGTCTGTGTGTAAAAGTTATGTTTGCACTGTACTGTAGTCTAGTAAGTATGTGATAGCATTGTTTGAAAACAATGTACATTATTTATTTTTTTAAATTTATTTATTTGACAGAGAGAGGCAGCAAGAGAGGGAATACAAGCAGGGGGAGTAGAAGAGGGAGAAGCAGGCCTCCCGCGGAGCAGGGAGCCCGATGCGGGGCTCGATCCCAGGACCCTGGGACCATGACCTGAGCCAAAGGCAGATGCTTAACAACTGAGCCACCCAGCGGCCCCAAAACAATGTACATAAAGATACTTTATTCCTAAAAAATATTAACCATCATCTGAGCTTTCAGTGAGTCGCAAACTTTTTTTTTTTTGAAGATTTTTTATTTTTATTTTTTGACAGAGAGAGACACAGCGAGAGAGGGAACACAAGCAGGGGGAGTGGGAGAGGGAGGAGACCCCCCGTGGAGCAGGGAGCCCGATGCGGGGCTCGATCCCAGAGCCCTGGGATCATGACCTGAGCCGAAGGCAGATGCTTAACAACTGAGCCACCCAGGCGCCCCGAGTCGCAATCTTTTTGCTGGAGGGTCTTGCCATGATGTTGATGGCTGCTGACTCATCGGGGTGGTGCTGCTGAAGGTTGGGGTGGCTGTGGCAATTTCTTAAATAAGACAACAATGAAGTTTGCTGCATTGATTGACTCGTATACAAATGATTTCTCTGTAGCATGTGATGCTATGTGATAGCGTTTTATCTACAGTAGAACTTCTTTCAAAACGGAAGTCAGTCCTCTCAAACTGTCACTGCTCTATCAGTTAAGTTTATGTAATATTCTAAATCATCTGTTGTCATTTCAACAGTCTTTACCAGGACCAGATTCTATCTCAAGAAACCATTTCTGTGCTCAGCAGAAGAAGGAAGTCCTTCACCCTTAAAGTTTTATTATGAGATTTCAGAAAGTCCCATCTTCTGGCTCCACTTCTAATTTTGTTCTCTTGCTATTTCCCCTACATCTGCATTTACTTCCTCCGCTGAAGTCTTGGACCCCTCAAAATCAAACATGAGTGTTGGAATTCAGCTTCTTCCAAACTCCTGTTCATGTTGATATTTTGACCTCTTCCCATGAATCACAAATGTTCTTAATGGCATCTAGAATGGTGAATCCTTTCCAGAAGGTTTTCAGTTTACTTTGCCCAGACCCATCAGAGGAATCACTGTCGCAGCTCTAGCCTTACAAAATGCGTTTCTTAAAAAAACCTTGAATGTCGAAATTACTCCTTGACCTATGGGCAGCAAAATGGATGTGGCATGAAAACATCAATCTCGTTGTCCATCTCCATCAGAGCTCTTGGGTGACCAGGTGCACTGTCAATGAGCAGTAATATTTTTGAAAGGAAGCTTTTTTTTCTGAGCAGCACATCTCAACAGTGGGCTTAAAATATGCAGTAAACCATGTTGTAAACAGATGTCTTGTCATCTAGGGTGTGTTGTTCCATTTATAGAGCACAGGCAGAGTAGATTTAGCATAATTCTTCGGGCACCTAGGATTTTCGGAATGGTAAAAGAACCTTAGCTTTAACTGAAAGTCACTAGCTGCATTAGCCCCTAATAAGAGAGTCAACCTATCCTCTGAAACTTTGAAGCCTGGCACCGACTTCTCTCTGGCTATGAAAGTCCTAGATGGCACCTTCTTCCAGTAGAAGCCTGTTTGTCTGCACTGAAAATGTTTCGTGCAGCCACCTTATTATTTTAGCTAGACCCCCTGGATAACTTGCTGCAGCTTCTACAACAGCACTCACTTGCACTTTTCTGTTATGGAGACTTTCTTTCCTTAAACCTCATGAACCAACTTCTGCTGGCTTCAGGCTTTTCTTCTGCAGCTTCCTCACCTCTCTCAGCCTTCACAGAACTGAAGAGTTAGGGCCTTCCTCTGCATTAGGCTTTGGCTAAAGGCAAAGTTGTAGCTGGTTGAAGCTTCTATCCAGACCACTAAAAACTTCCTATCAGCAATAAGGCTGTTTCACTTTCTTACAGTTTGTGTGTACACGGGAGTGGCACTTTTAATTTCCTTCAAGAACTTTTCCTTTGCATTCACAACTTGGCTAACTGGTGCAAGAGGCCTAGCTTTCCGCCTGTCTCTGCCTTTGACAGACCTTCCTCACTAAGCTTAAACATTTCTAGCTTTTGATTTAAAGTGAGAGACATGTGACTTTTCCTTTCATTTCAACACTTAGAGGCTACTGTAGGGTTATTAATTTGCCTCATTTCAATATTGTTGTTTTCAGGGAATAGCGGAGGCCCAAGGAGAGGGAGAGAGATGGGAATGACTAGTCCATAGAGCAGTCAGAACAATCAGAACATTTATCAATTTAAGTTCACTGTCTCATATGGGTGCAGTTTGTGGTGCCCCAAAACAATTACAACAGTAACATCAAAGATCACGGACCACAGATCATTATAACAAATATAGTAACAATGAAAAAGTCTGAAATATTGTGGGAATTACCGAAATTACACAGACAAGAAGTGAGCAAATGCTGTTAGAAAAAATGGCACTAATAGTGGTTGCCTTCACAAACCTTCCATTTGCAAAAAATCTGCAAAGCACGATAAAGCGAAGTGCAATGATACATATCGGTGTTAAATAAATTTGTATGCTTTTCTCTTGTTAGTCTGTCTTTTGTTACAGAGGTCATAGTTGAGAACTTAAGAGTAGAGCAAAAAGTTGTTTTTCTTCCCCTACGCCACTAATCTTTAAGTCTTTAAGGATTGGGAAGCCCTCAAGCTCATAGATACAGGTTTTCAAAAATTGCAATTTTAGCTTGAAAACTAGTATTTTATCACTAGCAACAAATTCTACCAGTTGTTTTATTTGAAGTGCTAAGGTCAGTTGTTTTTTTTTTTTCTTTTGCAGGACAATGCCTGCCATAGTTTCTCAGTCATTCTTTCAAGTAAAAATAATATTTTATGAAAAAAGTGGCTAGTTTAGGTCACAAATCAATTGCACAAGTGCTTTCCCTGGAGACAAATATTGTATTTCAGCATGCAGCAAAAGTGTTTTATTAGTATCACACAGAATATTAAAAGACATGTATTCAAGGGTAAAGATCTAATAAAATTAATATTTACCATGTCACCAAGGACATTTTAAAGAGAGTATGTGGTAGTGAAGAATAAAATGATTACTTTAGTAATAGTTTGGTGCCTTGATTTGTGTGCTAAAGGGCCAGCACTTTTACCTACAATAGCTTTTGCATCATTAGTATAAATGCCAATACAGTGAAAAAGGCAAACAATGTATCAGTATTATTGCAAGAATAGTTTTGATCTCCTGGACTTTCTGCAAGTTTTATTTTGGAGTCACCAGGGGTCTGCTGGCTACATTTTGAGAACTAACGATTGAGGTGAAAGATGATGCTGGTTTGGACCAGGATAGCAGTGATGGAAGTAGTTAGAACTATTTTGGTTCTGGATATATTTTAAAGGTAGATCCAGTAAAATTTGTTGGCCAGCTTGGATGTGGAGTTGAGGATAAAGGTCAAGGATGACCTTAAGGTTTCTGGCCTGAGCTAATAAAAGAAATTCCATTAAGTGACGTAGAGAAAGATAGCAGGAGCAGGGTTTGGGAAAGATCAGACATAGTTTTGAAACATGTTAAGTTTCAGATGCCCAGGAGACAGCTAAGTAGACATGTCATGTAGGCGGCTGGATATAGTCTGCAGTGGGAGATAGATGGCTGGAGACACACGCTGAGGAATCATCAACATCTAGGTATTTAAAACAGTAAGACTGGATGAAATCACCAAGGGAGGGAAGATGGGCAGAAAAGAGATCTCAGGACTAAGGTGCCAACATGTAAAGGTTGAAGAGCGAGGAAAAGCCAACAAAGGCAACTGAAGAGTGGTCAAGGAGGAAGGAAGAGAGTGGGGAAAGCCAAGATGAATGTGTGTTGTGTTCTATGTGTTGACACACATAACCATGATGAATCTCAAAAAACACTGTGCTAAAAGAAGGTGGAAATGAAAGAGTACATACTATATGACCCCACTTACATGAAGTTCTGAAACAGGCAAAACAAATTTATCTTGATGGAAATCAGGATAGTGTTTGCCTGGAAAAGGGAGTGGGGATACATGTTGACTGCATAGTAGCACAAGAGAACTTTTTGGTGTGAAAGAAGTGTTCTAAATAGTAACAGGGGTGTTGAGTATATGCATACATTTGCCAAGTCATACTGTACACTTAACATGTGCATTTTATTTTATATAAATTATACCTTAATACAGTTGTTCAAAAAATGGGAAGAGAAGCAGCACAGACCATGAACATGGAAAACTCTTTGAGTGGTCTCAATGTAAAAGGAAAACTAGAAATGTGGCAATAGCAGAGGGAAAAGTGGAGTTAATTTTTTTTTCATCATAGGAGCACCTGGGTGGCTCAGTTGGTTAAGCGTCCCACTCTTGAATTCAGCTCAGGTCTTGATCTCAGGGTCATGATCAAGCCCTGTGTTGGGCTCCATGTCCAGCATGGAGTCTACTTAAAAAAAAATATATCATAGGTGAAATAATAGCCTATTTGTATGTTAACTGGAGAGAGGTGGAGGGAAAATCTGATGATACAGGGGAAACATGCTGAAGCAATTAACTTTGAACTACTCAGAGAAGGAGATGTGGGACACAGGGAGAGAAGCTGGCTTAGCTAGAAGCAACGGAAGTTCACTTAGTGGGGAGGCAATGCACAGGCATAAAGATCGACTGGGGCATGTGGTATGGAAACCTGTGGAAGTTCTCAGATTTGTCCTATTTTCTCAGTAAAACAGGAAACAAGGACTTCAGCTGAAAGAATGAGAAGGATGTTCTGGAGGTTGGCAGAGAGAAGGTATAAAATGTTGGCAGAGAGAAGGTATAAAATAGTCACTGAGGAGTCTGTGAGATAAACAGACCAGGGAAATGACTATTGGACACCTGAGATTAGGAGTCATAAATTTAAGACTAGACCATCAGTATGGTTGAGTGTTTACCTCCAGCCTCACTGAGCTGCATATGTGCAGTCATGTGTTTGGGTTAGAAGCAGAACTGTGGTTTAGTCAAGAGTACAGAAAAGTGAAGGAGAGGCGAAGAAGATGCAGCTATATGAAAGGGGGTGTTTATAATGATGGCCTATGGATTTTAAGCCGATCCAAGAGAGAGGTGTAAAAATGAAGAGGTGAAGGATGGAAGACATGTGGTATGAATGAATGGATTTTGGTCTTGGTGGAGTTGAAGGATTGCTGGAATTGGATTACAAAAGAGAGTGTGCTGAAAAGAGGTAGTTAGAATGATACTTAATGTTGAGATTTATACAGGAGTTTGAGTTCTTGTTTGACCAGTTCTACAGGATGACCATAGGAGGGGCTGAGTTAAGGTTATAGGCAAGATCACTGGATGAGGTCAATGAGACAAAAGGTCAGCGTATAAAAGGATCATTCACATGAAATCTTACACTCACTGATGAAGCAGGAGCAGTGTAGGGCAGTGGTGGCAGTTAAAACTTTCAAGGAATGGAGATTAATCTGGAGGTGGAGAGTTGATAGGTAAGATGGTTTGTGTTGCAGTCTTGATGACAAAAGACAAAGATGGGAGGGGGTAGGAAGGATTTTGGAGAAAATGGTCTATAACTGACAACCAAAAGCCAGGAAGTCACTTACTGCACATCCAAGTGTAGGGAGGTAAGTGGTGTGGGAGAGGACAATCACTATTTAAGAGGCCTTTGGGGGAAGCAATGTCCTCAGGAGGGCAAGGGATTTCAGAGAGAAAAGAGGAGACATACAGAACTGCACAGGGATATGAGACTGGGATGCAGAACAAGGGAGGCTGGGGCTTCATCTTCCTTTACTATTTAAGCTATTGTTATCTTAATTTTAAAAAATTACAATGAACTCAATGATAGACTATTTTTGTATGTATTTAGGTATGCTCTAGAGCTAAATGCATGCTAACTGTTCCACATTAGCCAAGATGTTAAGGCACTATATGAAAACTGTTTCTTTGGTAGGCTTTTTTTTTTTTTTTGCACCCAAAACTTTATTGGGAAGGACAAATCAATTGCTAAGACACTTTAAAAGTACTTCGCTTATTCATCATTCTGCTTGGAAAAATTTACCTTTACTTTATAGTAAGGAAACAAACACAAAATCATTAAAAATATATGAGCCTCCAAGGCAACATGGCCTCATCTGATAGCTGGGCAGGGACTTTACATACCTTCCCATGGGGCCTCGTGCATTAATACAACAGGAACACCACATGCTAGGGTGAGAACCAAGCAAGGCAGGCATTGGGAGCCTCAAGGCATGTTGAAAAATGCTGATACAAAGCAATTTCCCCAACTGTCTCTTCTACTGTTGGCAGTTAGTTTTGGGTCCAGAGCCCTTTTAAGACACCCAGAGGTTAGTGAGATTCACAGAAGTGCTTCGTAGTTTAGTCTGTAGCTCGTGGGTGGGGTTCAACCATCTCTAACTTTGAAAAGTTCTGTCTGCACCTCTCTCTGGTCTTATTAAAACTTTCTAAATGAAGTTGATAATCAGCTTCAAAGTTTTGTGCTAATTTCCTTTGCACAGGGCACTGTTACAATTCCAGACACCAGTCTCAATTATGTAAGTACTTATATATATATATATTTTACATTAGGGTAAGTCTTGGTTAATCCTCTAAGTCTCATAAATGAAGTACATCTAGTTGCTTAGCTTCAAGTCTGTAAAAACTATAGTCTTTGTAATGTGTTCTATTGCGTGTATATTCTCTGCCATGGCCATTAATGAATCTTGTGAAGAAATATTCTACTTACACTATTCGCTATCTCTGCTCCAATAAAGCCTTATCAAAATGAGCAACGGGGTGGATTTGGCCCCAGGCTATAGTTTGCCAACCCACAGTAGGCAATGCTTGACCTCAGCTATCTCACTGACCTTGCCTTTCATCACAGATTCAAATTCCGTGACAGTATTGTATATTTAATATGTTTTTGAGGTATTCTTCACAGAAAAATCTGGATCTCTAGATGTTCTGGATCTATGCTACAGCCAAGCAGCTTAAATGATCACTTCCGGCATGACTGGCAGGAGCTAAGTGATATATGATCCTGTTTTAATCTTTCCTATTCGGAGTTTTTAGCAGTACTGTTGGCACACTCCCTCCACTTGATAGTTGACTGGTGAGATTAGTATGGGCTGAGCTCAAGGCAGTAACTTCACACAATACATTTTAGATATTCCACTTTAAAAAGAGAGAAAGGTAGAATAATGGAAAACACAGGAGGACCAGACTGGTTAATCTAGATTAAATGGTAAGAAGCAAATAACCCTGTAGGACCAGAATTACTTGCCCTCCCTCTCAAACAGGGATTATTTCAAAGTGAAATGATAGCTCCCTCATTTATTTCACAATGTATTCCTAGCACTTGGGGCTCCTTATTGGACCACTTTGTGCAATGCTGTACACCCTCAAGAGTTGTTTTGTTGAAACAATCCTTCCAGAAAACACTGTTCTAGTAAACAGAGATGACTAGTTGGACGCAGCCTACACACAAAATAACAATGTTAATTTCACAAAGAAAAACAGGAGGAAAAATATTTTCTTAATGGAAATGAAATAAAATCCTTGGGACAGAGTAGTTTGCTATCCATAAATGTGCATCTGTCACAGCATGAAAGGACAGTGTATTTATCATTGTCATGGGCTGTGAAGTTTTAATTTTTTTGTAGCAGTTTAACGGCTGAAATTCCAATCGAAGAGCTAATATTTGGATTCTCATGTTCTCTTAAAATGTTTGGTACACACATTAGAATGTTTCAGCCTGGGAAGGCAAACTGAAAAGAACAGAGATCTACCAACTATGGTTGGCCTATTTATAACCAGGAGAAAATCAAAAGAGCCACGGGGTGAAAATCCTAGGCAAATCTAACAAGAGTTTTTTAAAAAAATCATTTTTGAGAAATACTTTTTTAAATAGTAAAAAATATTTGTTATGCACTTACATGAAAGAAAAATAAAGCAAAAAAAAATTAGGCGGTTTTTGGTTACTTTAAAAACCCATTAAATCTTTTCACGGGGGTTCCTTATTTTTATCACTCTACCACACTCAAATTTGTACATGAAGTCATTCCGGACAAAATTTAAAGTACTTTGAGCTATGTTATCAGCACCACATATTTCTAGTAATGTTCTAAATCAAAAACAAGTTGGCTGGTTTAACCCAGTGAAAACAGAAATCATGCTTATAGAACAAGACTTAAAAGAGATGGCCTGAAATACAGCATTTGAAGGGGTTAATTTTCCCATTGCTAGAAGTCCAGTTCTCTAAGACCAAAAGACAATTTTCAAAATAGTTTTCGCTACATTAAATACTAATTTCTGTTAAAATCTTCCCACCCATTCATGTACTTAAGGGTAGTATTTGATTCCCCAACGAATCTAATGTAGATAGCACATATTCCATGAAAGGGATCCTTGACTGCCTAATGATACCGACCACCTAGAATTTACTGACTGTCTTCTATGTGCCAGGCACTGATTGAAGTAGTTGAAATGTATTAACTCATGAACTGGCACATTCATAAAGGGAGAGAGAGGTTAAGGAACATGACTGAGATCCAACAGCAAGTAAGAGCTGTCACCAGAGCCTGCGCCTAGGCAGTGACTCCGGAGCTCACACTGCTCAACACTACGCTATGCTGCCTTGTGTGTGTCTTATTTTGAAAAAGAACCAGCTGTTTAACTGAAAAAAAGGATATGACCCAGCTGTCCTTAAATCCGTTTTAACGGATTGACTCCTTTGTTAAGACTTGTTTTAAATGCTTCTGATTTTATAAAAGGCTTTAGTATGTTAAAATACCATTTTATAATGTTAATAGTTGTACATATTTGATTGAATGTTTTCTATTCTGCATTTCAAATTGAGTCAATAACTGTAAATAACACAACTGTAGGTATACTAACAGTTCTTTAATTATATTCTGATATTCTAGCAAATAATACAATTAAAAACTATTCCTCAGAGTAGAAATCTGCAATAAAATGTATAATAGCTTGTGTATAGTTACTAGTTTAATAAAACATTATCCAAATAATCAGTTACTCGTGTTTAAAATTTATAGTAAGAAACATTAAAAACAACAAAAGACTATCTCTGTTTCAAATTTAGGCCTATTTAAATGATTTTCAGTATAGTTAAACTCAATATAATGGTTACATTTAGTAAAATCTTGCTGACCAGACTTCCAAGACTGTAATTGTGTAGGTGGTCCACTAGGATCTATTGTTCCTTTCCCTTAGCTAAATTACATCAGATTCCTACCATGTGTCTCTAGTATTGAGGAGACTCATTAGGAAAGGATCCATCATCCATCCACATGCTCACATAAAACCCCCTCTTTCCACCCCCTACCCATAACCCACCCCCATACTAAAACCCACAAGTTAGTTGTGCTTTTGTAGTCTTTTCACTGGAGACCATAAGTTTGAGTTGAATTATTCAATGTGAGGGTCACAATGAGAGAACGTGGATCTTTCTTATTCTTGTGGACTGTGATCTTTCCTTTCAAGGCTTCACCTATAGAAGAAAGGTAAAAGATGTGTTTAAGAATTCAAGGAATACAGAAACAAACTGAGGGTTGCTGGAGTGGAGGGGAGTGGGAGGGATGGGGTGGCTGGGTGATGGACACTGGGGAGGGTAGGTACTATGGTGAGCGCTGTGAATCACAGACCTGTACCCTGAAACAAATAATACATTATTATGTTAATAAAAAAATTAAAAAAAAAAAGAATTCAAGGAATACAGTCTAGCAGAAAAGTAATAATGTATACCTAGTACTTCTCTTTTATTGTTGTGAGATGTTTCACTCATTTTGGAAAAAATTAATCGATTTAAATTTTAGGGCAATTTTATGTTTAATTTTTGAACAAAGTAGATCTAAAAAATGAAAAAATTTAAAATTAATTTAAAACATAACTGAATATTTAAAGCATAACTAACAACAATGTATTGGGAGATAAATCTATATATAGCACCATTTGGGGAAGTGAAATTTTTACAATAGCTCAAAGGATTGGAGGGGGTAAATGGAAGAAAATTACTGAGTCTTAAACTATAAATGAAATGGTGTACTATTGTTTGATGGTAGTCTGGTAAGCTAAAGAGGCATGCTGGAACTCTAGTGCAACAATTATAAAAACAAACCCAACACATGTAGTTATTTAGCTAAGGGTGGAGATAAAATGAAATAATAAAAGAATATTCAATAAAAAAAAAAGGTAAGAAGGAAAAAAGGAATCAATGACAGAGGGGATAGAGAAAAACAAATAGCAAATGACAGAATTAAATCTAGTATCACAGATAATAACTTTAACTGTAATGTGTTTAATATACTTTCAATATAAAGAAAGGGTCAAAGTAAAATGTAATTCTATATTAATCATAGAGAGTCTGAAATGGCAGTATTAATTTCAGACAAAGATGACTTCAGGAAAAAATACATAACCAGAGATAGACATATTTCAAAATGATCATTCAATTTACAAAGACACATAATGACTTTTATGTATGATTGTATGACTACAGAGCTTCAAAACACATGATGCAAACTGACAGAACCACAGGAAGACACATATAATCCACAATTATCATTGGGAATTTCACCTCTCCTCTGTCAATAATTGCAATAACAACTAGATAGAAAACCAGAAAGAATATGGAAGACTTAACACACTACTAGATATCCCTCATAAACAAAGATTCAAAAATCCTTTGACTAAAGAGAAAAATACTACTGTCTCATAAAATACAGGAAAAAATCTGACAGAATTAATTTATAACAACTTTCAGCAAGCTAGCAATAGAAGGACTCTTCAAGCTGATAAAAGGAATCTATGAGAAACTCCAGATAACATTTTATTTATTTTTAAGATTTTATCTATTTATTTGACAGAGAAAGAGAGAGCACAGCAGGGGTAGCAGTAGAGGGAGAGGGAGAAGCAGGCTTCCCACTGAGCAGGGAGCCCGATGTGGGGCTCGATCCCAAGATCCTGGGATCATGACCTGAGCCAAAGGCAGACACTTAACGGGCTGAGCCACCCAGGCGCCCGACGTTTTTTTTTTTTTTTTTTTTTTAAGATTTATTTATTTTAGAGAGAGAAAGTGTATGAGCGCAGGGGGAGGGACAGAGAGAATCTCCTGCAGACTCCACACTGAGTGATGAGCTCGACTCCAGGACCCTGAGATCAAAATCAAGAGTGGGCCACTTAACCGACTGAGCCACACAGGCACCCCACTCCAGATAACATTCTTAATGGTGAAAGACTGAATGTGTTCTTCCTAAGATTGGAACTGAGGTTAAGGATGGTCATTCTGACCACCTCTAATTAGTATTGTATTGGATGTACTAGTCAGGGCATGAAGGTGTGGGGGAAGGAATAAAAAAGGATATAGTTTGGGGGCGGAAAAAAAAGAAGCAAAACAGTCTTTATTTGCAGACCACATGGTCTTATACAGAGAAAATCCTAGTATGCAAAAAGAGCTACTAGAACTGTAAGATGGTTTAGCAATCTTAGAATAGAAAATTGCATTTCTATATGTTAGCAATGTAGAATTAGAATTTGAAGTTGAAATAAAAGCCCATGAGCATTTACAACAGCGTCAAAAAAAAGCATATAATACATGAGATAAATTTAACAATATATGTACAATGTTTAGTCACATAAAACTACAAAATAGTGCTAAAGATGATGAAAGTACAGTTGACCCCTGAACGACACAGATTTGAACTGCATGGGTCCACTTAATTGTGTATTTTTTTTGATGAATATAGTAAAGTACTGTAAATGCATTTTCTCTTCCTTATTTTTTTTTTTTTTAAGATTTTATTTATTTGACAGAGAGAGAGAGAGAGAGGGCAGAAGCAGAGGGATTGGCAAAGTAAGAGGGAGAAGCCGGCCCCCCATGCTAAGCAAGGAGCCCCCTGAGTTGAAGGCACCCCCTTAACTGAGTGAGCCACCCAGGTGCCCCTCCTTAAGATTTTCTTAACATTTTTTCTAGCTTACTTTAAGAATATATGATACATACACAAAATAAGTATTAATAGACTGTTTATGTCATTGGAAAGGTTTTTGGTTAACAGGAAGCTATCAGTAGTTAAGACTTTGGGGAGTCAGAGGTTTCGTGCAGATTTTCGACTGTATAGGAGGTTGACCACATTATTCAAGGGTCAACTGTAAATGGGGACATACATTCTGCTTGTGGATGGAGGACAAAAACAATATGGTTAAGATGTCAGATCTCTGCAAGGTAATCTATAGATTCAAAACAGTTCCAATCAAAATCCCAGCAGGCTTTTTTGGGTAAGAAATTAACAATTTGATTTTAAAACTTATATGGAAATTTAAAGGATCTAGAATAATGAAAACAATTTTGAAAAAGAACAAAGTCTGAGGACTTACATCATCTTATGAAGACAGTGTCTAACTGGCATAAGAACAGATACATAGATCAATGGAACAAAACAGCTCAGAAAAAGACATATCCATATATGGTCAATTAATTTTTGACTAAGGAGCCAAGTAATTAAATTGGAAAAGGACAGACTTTTCAAGAAATGATGAAGAAACAGCCTAATGTACATTTGGAAAAAATGAACTATTATTCTTAAAATTAACATGAAATACACTATAGACCTAAATGTACAAGGCAAAACTATAACATTTTTAGAAGAAACATGTATGAAAAACTCTATGATGTTAGGGTAGCAAAGATTTCTTAATTAGGAAACAAAAATACAAACTTCAAAATATATTGAGAAAATGAAAAGAAATGCTGGGATTTGGGATAAAAATATTAACACCACATATATCTGACAATGAACTTGTACCCATGTATATAAGGTTTCTTTTAATTCAGTAAGTTGACAAACACCCCAATTAAGAATTCAGCAAAGTATTTTTAACAGACACCTCCCACACACAAAATATACAAATGACCAGTAAACACATGAAAATATGCTCAACATCATTAGTCATCAGGCAAATGCTAATTAAAAAGACTGCTTACAGACAAAAGAATGACAAATTAAAATGGCTGACCTTTTTTATAAGTGCTAACAAGGATGTGGAGCAGCTGACCCCACTATGGTGGTAGGAACGTTGAACAATTTGATTTTAACAGTGCAGATTTTAACAGTTAACAGTTGAACAGTGCAGTGATTTTGAAAAAATTTGCTAGTTTCCTATAAAGTTAAACATACACTTACCATAAGACCTAGTAATTCCTCTCCTAGGTATCTACCCAAGAGAAATGAGAATGTATGTCCACACAAAGACATGTTTTTACATGAATGTTTGTAGCAACTCCATTCATAATGGCCCCTAACTGGAAACAACACAAAGTCTAGCAGCAGGTGAATGTGGTATTAGTAAACTGTGGTATGGTCATATAAAGGAATACTATTTAAGAATAAAAAGGAACAAACTACTGATATACAGATGAACCTCAAAATATGTTAAGCAAAGAAGTATAACATTTTAAAAGAATACCAATAGTTTAGTACTAGTAATACTAATATATAGTGGCAGAAAGCAGATCAGTGGTTGTCTTGGTCTGGGAATTGGAGCTGGGAATGAATAATCACATAGGGGATCAAAGGAAACTTTTTATTTTATTTTTTAAAAAATTTTTATTTATTTTTTAAAGTTTTTATTTATTTATTTGACAGAGAGAGAGCACGCACAAGCAGGGGAGGGGCAGAAGGTGAGGGAGAAGCAGGCTCCCCGCTGAGCAGGGAGTCCAATGTGATGTGGGGCCTGATCCCAGGACCCTGAGAGCATGACCTGAGCCAAGGTAGATGCTTAACTGACTGAGCCACTCAGGCATCCCCAAGGAGGAAACTTTAGAGTGATGCAAATATCTTTTATCTTGATTAGGATGGTGCATACATTTGTCAAAACTCATCAAAGTATACAATGAAGATATGTGAATTTTTATTGTATGTAAGTTATGGAAAAAAATTATTTAACAAATGTGGCAGCTTAGGAATAAACTGACTCAGAGATAAATGGAATATAGTAGAGAAGCCAAAAGATCTGTTATGGCGATTTAGTACATGTAAGTGGGGCATTTTGAGTCACTGAGGAAAGAATTCAACAGAAATGTGTAAATATAGTAATACAATCTTTTTCAGTATGAAACCAAAGTCAGAAACCAAATGGAAAAGGTTAAAGACTTGATTATACAAAAATGATAACAAAATTCCACAAAGCAAGATACTCTAAAGAAAGAAAAGTAACTTGGGGTGCCTGGGTAGCTCAGTCCGTTGGGCGTCTGACTCTTGGTTTCAGCTCCTATTGTGATCTTATGAGTAGTGGGATCAAGCCCCCTGTCGGACTGCATGCTCAGCAGGGAGTCTGCTTAAGGATTCTCTCCCTCTGCACTCCCCCCAAAATAAAGAAATAAATATTAAAAAAAAAGGCAATTTAAAACACTATACTTTCACTTCTTAGAAGAGCAAATATTTTTTAAAAAGTGAATTTTGATTTGATTCCTTAGGATGAATGATCAGAAGTGGA